GTCATACAATCTTTTTTATCTTTGAAACAAATTTTTCACACAATTTGTGATCCCATAGCAACGCGCGGGCAAAACTATGTAGTATAAACTATAAATGTAGGTCATTGTTTTAACATAATAGTAGGTCATCACCAATCAGTTAAGAATCTTATGAAGCTACAGTTTGGCATGGCGCGATTTGTTAGGGCGCCACCAAAAACTAGTTTCGACACATGATTGTAAAGTTCCAACTATGTACATAAGGTCATTAAAGTGAAAACTGATATGATCTAGGGATATTGACTCAAGCATCTTGTTTTTACATAAACATATGGTTCCAAGCATGGCTGCTCAAAAACTTAGAAGAACTGATGATCTGTGTATTATATTAACATTATAGTCGTTTAATATTTGATGATTGTTTGCTTGCTAAAGAAACATAACCTTGTTTAGAGTAAAATTAGGGATAAAAAATGCATACGATTCTCTTTGATAAAATGCATAACGTATTGAAGTCTGAAAATAATCTAGGTAATCAGACCAAATTTTTTTTACATGTTCCCATGAAGTGTACAAGTGTCATGTTCTATATATACAAAGGAAGTGAAAAATAATGTAGCTCAAGATGTATAACGGTGCAGAAAGGGAAGAGAAATTAATAAACTAACAAAATATAGAACATCTGGGTCATAAGAAAAAGGAAACCTGTTGCATCCAGAGCACGGATTGCTTCGCAAAATGCATTGGCTCTCTCACGCCGGCGCATCAAGTCACTTGAAGGTGGAGTGGCCGTCAGTTGAAAAATCTTGGACAAAAGATGTACATGATGTCAAAGAAACAAAGTAACCCAATGATTATTCACTAACGAATCCAATAGAAAATTTCCCAACCAACTAAATAAGGTGTGTGTGCTTATGAACACGTTGCTGAAAATGTGCTACTGGTAATTTTGAGTAAGCATGTAGAGGATATAATCTTTAAGTCTATCTGTTGTATGTGGTACAGCAACCACCAATGCACGAACCACAGCAATGGCAGCTTCATGAGATCCATCTTCAAGAAAAACATCCATTTGAACGCGTATCTTATCAACAATCTGTGAGGTTTTAATTTGGTCAGCCAGATGTACGAAAACTGTTCGATTAAGTACGCTAATATCTTAATTGCAAAAGGAAGAGAACTCATACCATGTCATTTCTAAAATGTTGGGCCACTGCTCCAAAGGAATCTATGCTTGCATACTTCACTCTCAAGTTTTGGTCAGAACCCAGAGTAACTAGGGCAGGTAATATATGAGTAGATGCAACTTTTGCATCGATATATGGAACCTATAAACGAAGGAAACCAATTAATTATTTCTTAATCAGACACATAAAGAAATTAGGACTCCAAGAATGGATAGACTTACAATGACTTTCAACAGATTGGCAGCATTTATTTTCATATCTATGTTGGAGCTGACAACCATTTCCCAGAGTAAATTAAATATCATACCATGATGATCTTCAAATGTGCTGCATTATGGAAAGCCCCTCAGTCGAAATTAAGTTACAAAAAGTTAGTCCTAAACGGTATTCATTGCTTTACTAGCCAAAGGAAGCGAACAGCATCAACAATCTCAGCATTGCACTTCGTAGATTGATTTGGAACACCTTCAACTAATAACTTTCTCAGGTACTCCACTAATTGTTCATGCTTGCTTGGACCACCCAAAACACCAGCCAAGAGAAGAGGTAGGACACACATAGTAGCCAATCTCTTAGCCACAGCTGTTCTTGGCCTCAAACCTGTTATGTAGATAATATCCACAATTAAGAGCACACCCAACACTGGTGTGAAAGGATTTCAAGAAATTTTAAAGTTACTACCTTTGATTCCGGAATGTATTGCAGATGGGAAAAATGTCAATTCAGCTTCTTCCCCAACAGCTAACAAGAATACAGGCAGCATTATGTGTGTCAAATAAGAATCCCCGTAGAGTTCTGATACAGCCAATAGAAACTGCATTACCAACATTTAGATCAGAAACAATTAATAAAGTATTGTTGATGATGTAATATAAAAAAGACACCAAAGACAGAGAAAGATACCTTGGTGATTTGGTTTCGCAAATTGTCCTCTTTTGGAGGTAACAAGCATGCGAGCTGTATTAAAGCAGGAAAGCAGTCGACATGTAGCCACTCAAATGCAGGCAATTGAACATGTCCACTACCGAGATAACAAAATTCTCATAAGCAGTTATAGTAAATCAGTTTAACATTATCACTACCTAAAGACAAAAGTCAAACGGCTATGTTGTCAGAAAATAGTAGACAGGCCTGAAAAAAGAATATATAACAAAGTAAAATAAAATAAAAGGAAAAAAGAGAAAAGAGCTTTACCCTGCATACAATTCAAGGAAAGATTTGGAAAATATTGTTCCAGTTGTTTCGGGATCAGAAGAAACTGGGCACTTCTCAAATGCTTTCTGATGCACATGCGGAAGAATTTCCTCTAGCATTCGTAGTAAAACATCAACATTCCAGCGTTTGCGTTCACCTAAAACACGAAGATGTGACTGCACAGAACCTTCAACCCCCGAAAGAGGAGGACAGCGCTGCAATATCACAAGGATGCAAATTAAAGAAAGTATCATTAGAAAGACCTTAGTCATAAGTGGAAAATATAATCAAACAGAAACCGACCTGAACAGAGCTTGATATATGAGAGAGTAGAACTCTTAAGATATGGTCGAATTTGTTTCCCCACTTGTTTACCGCAGGGACTAATTGCTTAAGCGTTGTTTCCACCACCACTCCAGAGGGATCACAGACCAATTGGAACATCAATTCCTCGACCTATAAATAAAAATACAGTAAAATATTGGGGAAACAGATCCTTGACTACTTTATCCATTTATTTCTTGTCAGTCATCATATTATGAGGAGAAAATTCTCCATTTCCCTAGACCATGTGGCTTCAACCTGTTCTAGAGCTTACATTGTAGCCATTTCTGTCAAGTCAGAATTCCTCTCCATGAGAGCCTCTGAAGCATATTAGTGAGGCTGACCTTGAAATATTTGTCCATGGTCGGGAAGAGTGGAAGCAGCAATGCAAGATTGTGTGCAGCAGCCTCCCGGACAACAGTTGCAGAATCTTCTATAAGTTGTTGACTAATGGACAATATAAGAGAATCACGAATCTCAGGCCGGACAAACTCTGCAAGCTCTCCACATGATTGAGCAACTAGCAGCCTGCGTTCCTCATACATATGATTTATCTGCAACCCACAAACCGGAGAAACATAAGAAAAACTAATCAGAAATACGAAAAGGTTAGACAAGATTCTCTCAAGGTGGGGCTCAAACTTACTTGTTCTCAACACTGGGGAAGTAATTCTGTTTCTGTTCTCATCTCTCCTACATTCTTAGCAAGGTTAACACATGCCTGAAATGCAGTTAAAGATTCAGAAACAAGTCCAAAACAATGCAGCTATATTACAAATAATGTGGTACTTTGAATATTAGTCTACATCCATTATAATTCTTCTCTGCTGCTCATCTGGGCGTTTGATTAGGTTAAACAATGTGTGGGTTAAGGAATCCCGAGTGCTGCTATCTGGATGGCGTTCAATCGCACACATGATTAGGGGAAGAAGCTCCTGTGAATGCATAACCAATAAAAAAAATAGAAATATATCGTTCTATTAAAGGATCAATTTAAAGATCCATCATACAATGATAATATCAATAATATATTTATACACACATATATAATATATATGTACATATGAAAAAGTAAAAGAAGCAAACCTCCCGATGGATGATCAAAACATAAGGAACAATCTTCGGCAAAGCATCAGCAAGGATCTGAATGGTCTCTAGGCCCTGTAAAATATAAGCATAACTTTAGAAAAGGAATAGAAGGGAAAGGCAGTTCCAAAGCTTCTAAAAAATCATTCTATGTTCTATTATTCAAAATTTAGAAGGCATTGATGCAATAAAAGAAATGTAAAAGAAACTTGCCCTTTCCTCAGAAACATTTCCAGGACTAGTATCACTTAAAACACCGACAGAGACCTCATGTGAAACTTCCTTCGGTTTAACTGTGTTATCATGAAAACTTTGAGCAACCAGAGACTGATATTCTTCCTTTTCTACAACTCTCGATTCTACATCAACTGGTGGGATTACACTTTTATCTTCATCGACGACAACGACCCTTTCTTGCATCTGCACACTCTTTTTCAAAATTGTTGGTCTCTAAAAAATCATGAGCTTTTGTGGTCTCTAAAAAATCATGAGCTTTTGTGTTCTTGGATTTTAAACTTTCTAGTTCCATCTGCAATGAATTAATTTATTCCTTGTAACTTCCCAAGGACAGAGCTTGGATTTTATCAGCATCAGCAGCTCCCATATTCCTTCCAGAACGATATCCTTCAATGTGCATTTTCAATGCAGTGACTTCAGCTCTACAATCATTGAGTTCCTTTCTCTGGTGTTCCAAGGACTGCTGCAAATTTTATACCCGAAATAAAGGGTGTATTATTTTCTTACATATGAATTTTCATTACATAGCATCTCAATGCAGTGTAGTAAAGGGACTTACGAGGTTTTCTTTGTCTTTAAGGTCCTTCTGAAGAGCTTCCAATGATTTGCTTAGTGTACTTATTTGGTCTTCAGCCAAATCTTTGTTTTCAAATAAGGATGGCTTTTCAAGATGTGGACTCTCATTTTCTTTCGATAACGACTCATTTTCTAGGAGCATGGAAAATTTCTCCTGAATTTAGCAAAGTATTTATGTCGACTTTAGAAAAAGAAAAAAAAAAATCCTACATTGTAATAGAACTTGCAAAGTTTCAGTAATTAACTAATTAACTTCAAGCCTTAAGCCGAGAAAGTACTCATCCATAACAACCATAGTTTAGGTTGTAGTTGAAAAAGGGCCTAAGAGCCTAACAACCATAGTTTATAGCTCAACAGTTGCAATATTAAAGCCTCGTTTGATATCTAAAATTAGATTGAAATAGATAGACCGCTAAATTAAGGTAAAAATTTATGTCCATCATAAATGTTAAAGATCAATTACTCATAAAGAAAACTTATGAGTTTCAATCTCTCCATAATGTAGGATTACAAAGATGAATTTCCTTCATAACTAATCCTCTCTAATTCCCTCCAAAAAAAAAAAAAATATAACTACAGGTTCAGCATCTTGCTGCATAAGTAAGCAGGATTGGCCAAGCTTAGCTAAGCACCAACAAAAGAAAGCAAACAACAAATTATACGACCTGACTACAAATCCTAGCAAACACAACCCAAATTCACATGGATGAGCAAATCCCAACCTCCACCACTGTCAGGAGCATACATTTAGCGTCCTTCAATCATTGTAATTGTAACTTCATTATTCGAAGGCTGTGGTTGAGGATGAGAGACTGTGTTTTGGATAGTGAATAGAGGCTGTTTAGGTTGTGGACCACCAATTACATTTGTGGAACCATTTAGCATAAAAATTACATCCGGCATGCTCGGCCTATCCATCGGATTATCCTGTACACAAAGCAGCCCTATATGCACACATTTCATTACTTCTGGAGCCGAATATGAATCAGCCGCCAACATTTCATCCACCAACTCCAATTCCCTGCCTTCCTTCCATAACTGCCATGCATAGGCTAGTAAGCCTAGCTGTCGATCATAGATATAGAAGGCGGTATTCTTCTTGCTGCTAATAATCTCCAATACCAAGACCCCAAAGCTGTAGACATCAGATTTTTGGGAAAATATTCCACCCATGGCATACTCTGGAGATATATATCCACTGCGCGAACATGAAACTCATTAGTATATATGTCGCTGAAATAAGTGCTTGGTTTCTGCCTTTTAAGAACAACATTACCAAAACTATATCTAATGTGAACGATGCAACTAATTAGCAGTTTTTATCCAAAACAGGAGTCGGTTAAGAGTTCATGAATCATGATGCAATGCTAACCATTAGAACTTTGGTTGCGTATGAAATGTTCAAGAATATATAGGAAAGGCATGAATCTTACCGCGTTCCCACAACTCTTTGAGTATTTTCTAAATTCTGTGTCCCTTCAACCACACGTGCCAATCCAAAATCTGAAATTTTTGGGTTCATTTTCTCATCCAAGAGAATGTTACTTACTTTTAGATCTCTATGTATTACCTTCAAATAGGAATCACGATGGAGATAAACAAGCCCTCTAGCAACACCTTGAATAATATTGAAACGTGTACCCCAATCAAGCACTGCTCTTCTCGTCGAATCTGATCATCAAATAATTGATCAGTACACCGGCTAGAATGTAAAGATAAGAAACTGCAGTAAAGAGCAAGTGAAACTAACCGAAAAGAAAAGTATCCAAGCTTTTGTTTGGCATGAACTCATAAATCAGTAACTTCTCGTCCTCTTTAACGCAGCAACCGATGATTCTGACCAGATTTTTGTGTTGGAGATTGGAGATCAACATCATTTCATTCTTGAACTCTACTGCACCTTGTCCTGAGGTACTGGATAGTCTTTTTACTGCTATTTCCTTCCCTTCTGCTAGCTTACCCTACACAAAGTCGACAAATAAATCACTGCATTCATGTCTGTCTCTCTGTATCTATCGTAAAAATAAAGGTAAATTACACAAAAATACTTCAATTATGAATCACACAACAATTTTATACCTCATGTTTTAAACATTGCAATGTCAAACCTCCTCTTACGAATTGATTACAATGTCAAACCTCCCGTGTGATAACGTGGCAACGTAGAATCCATATTTTACTGAGGTGGCGGTCAATTGTGCCACTTAGATAAATACTAAATTATAAAATTAATTATTTTAAAATGAACATAAATTTTTACGCAAAAAAATAAATAGAAAGAGTGGGTCCACCCATTCCATCCTACCACCCATCTGATGCTGCGCTGCTTCTAAACCTCCATCTCTCCCCACCCTCCGCCGCCGATGGGAGGCAAAAGCAAAGGGAAAAACAATGGGGATGGCAGCAGATGCGAGGGAACTCGTCAGGGTTGGTGGACGCCCAGGTATCGATGTCGTCGGAGCCGATGTAGGTGCAGCGCCGCCCGACCCAGCGCATACTGCCCAACATCATTACCGACAACGCTTTTTGATTGCCGTTGGGTTTTTGCCAGAATTAAAGATCGAAAATTTTTGAAACGAAAATTGCAGTCTCCATCTTTGGCAATTGCAGAGTTTTTATTGATAGCGAGAGATGGAGAAGAGAAGAATGGGGGAAGAGAGAGAAAGTCGGAGAGGGTAGGGAAGAAGATTAACAGGATGAGGATGAAAGGGACTGTGCACATTTCCCTCGCATCTTCTGCAATCATATCATCCTAAACCAAATCCAAAATATCATACCATCCCCAACCAAACCCAGAAAATCACCGAACAGGCCATATCAAAGTTTTCTGAAAAAGAAGAAGAAATCACCCCAAAAAAACAAAAGGAAGTCAAAAAAAAAAAAAAAAATACAAAAAAAAAGGGATAACATGCGCTCCATTAAAGAGAAGCAAGAGAATCGAATACCATCCCATTTCTAACCCAAACCCATAAATCTATTTCCCAGTTCCAAACCAAATAATTCCAACAAAAATATCAAATTTTGTCTACATCCCCACCCTCCCATGTCTCCTCCACCTTTTCTTTCCAGCCAATTTCTCCCTCACCTCACTCCCTTCCCGGCCACCAGTCACAGATCCGACCCACCCACCACGGCCTGTGGGGGTTTCACGAGTTATGGGGTTTCAGTGACAGTGGAAACGGAGAGAAAGAAGAAGGCGCGCGGGAGGTGGAGTGGTCGAAGGTGGGGTGGAGACAAAGGTGGGGATCGAGGGTGTCGGAGTGAAAGTGGAGACGAAGGTGGGGATGTAGGGCCTTTTTTTAAATAAATTTCTTATTAGTTTTAAATACTATAAATAATAACAATTTTTTATTACTTTCTGGTCCACTCGGCTCCAACTTAATGGATTTGGATCCTGTTCTGAGCCCAAGACGAGGATCCTCCTGATCAAAGAGTGTGGATCGTTGGATGAAAATCCAACAACTACAAACAGGAAAATCCTTTTAAAGTTATAATAATTATAGTCGTTAGATTTTCATCAAACGGCCCACACTCTTTGGTCGGGAGTATCCTTATCTTGGGCTCAGGAGAGGATCCAAATCCCAACTTAATATCCATATCCGCAAAATATGAGCCTTATAATTGACATGTCAACATTTAATAGAAAAATTGACAGAAAAGTCGACGAATATCTGAAATTGCAATGAATACGAAGTTGATGTATAACATTGCAATATTTAAAAGATATGAAATTGTTATGTGACTCAAAGTTAAGGTGGTATGGTGTAATTTATCCTAAAAATAATAATAATAGTAATTACCTTATAAACTGGACCAAATCCTCCTTGCCCGAGTTTGTTTTCGGTGCTGAAATTGTCCGTGGCAACTAATATGCTTTCAAAATCATAGATCAGTAGCTCATCATGTTTTCCACCTATATATTCTTGAAGGGTGTCCCTTGTTATTTTGATGTGCTTCATTGTTAATTTGATGTGTCCTGATTTTGCAAATATACACATCGAACACTGAATCAAAACAACTTCCAAAGTTTTGAGAGATAATATGCTAATGCATTATATTAATCCAACACCTCGATCTCTTTCACTTAATTACCTTTTTGCTTAGCTCTCATCCTGCACAAACCGAACACTATGGCACCCAATACACCGATAAAACAAACAACCGTAAGGCTCACAATTAACTTTATTGGCTTTCCTTTACCTGTAAAATTTACAGACAAAAACAAGCATGAGATATATAGGAAAAGAAAAGTTACTGCTTGATAATTTGATTTGTCCAAGGCTTCAAGCACTTTTGAACAAAAAAAAAAAAAAAAAAAAGGCATCAAGCACTAGTATCATTAGTTCATCTGCTAGTTCTGTGCATGCTAGGCGAATATAAACATCTACGCCATCAGAGGGAAACTCCTGCGTATGAGTGAGGTATTTGGACCAGACCAAACACCCTATTTTATAAACAAGTGCGTAGGCTTTGTAAGAACAATTATTTAGGCGCACTGTCTTGCAGTCGGCCGATGTGCTGTCAGAATCCAAAGATACAAATTCATGAGAATCTGGTACTTTGAACCCTACCAGCTTCAGAAACCCATCATCATCTTCTATTCCTCTCAATGTTGAATGACTTATTTGTGTATCTCTCTCAAAACAATTTGGTTTTCCTCACACACCCTCTCATCCAGTTTCCAATGCTCCATTTCCCGTCTGACTTGGGTTCAAGCACTTGCAGATTGGTGAATATTTGTGACGGCGTCTCTTGGGAAATTCCAAGCAAGAATATCCCAGTTGACGTACAGATCACTTTCACTTTTCCAGGAAGTCATGGCAGTCCTCGTTCCAGAATTAGTACCATATCCCAGGAGCTGGCTTCTTAGCAGGGTATCACAAAGATGATCAAAGCTCTGCTATAACAATTGATCAGCTCCTATATCATCTTTGACAACAAAGTTTCCATTGTCCATTGTCCCTGTACAGCACCATCGCTTTTGGGTCTACCTAAGCTTTATTTGTTTTTATAGAATAAAAACAGAACTCAACTTTCATATGCCCCTGCTTTGAATATTATGAAGAGATAATTGGTTACCTAACGTAGGGAAGCTAATAGAAAGAGTGGAGAACAAATACAATCGTAGCTCTAGGAATCATTTACTAGGTAAGAGAGAACAAATACGATCGTAGCTCTGGGAATCACTCACCAGGTAAGAGACTGGAACTCACTCAACCAGAAACTAGAACAAGCAAAGTGTTTGCTAGAAGCTTTCAATTACATTCAAAGTCTGACCGACAATCCTTTTAGCATAAGAATTATAAAGGCTTACAATATTAAAAGACTTCTACTTTCGATGAGACTCTTACAATCTCCAATAATAACTTGACAACTTCTAAGGAACAACTTAATTAAACCTTCTACTCCCAATACACGTGACCTGGCATTAAAAGACCTTGTCTGCTGCATCATTACCAAATCGAAAAGCATAACTTGGAGATGATATTAGGAAATCAGAAAAAAGAGGGCACCCAATTTGAAGTTTCGTTTCCCATGGAAAGCCACATGGATTTTGTCATGGTAATATGAAAGAAATTGGATGGAATTGTGCGTGCCCACCATAAGAGTGAAAAAGTTATTTGGTAGTTAGCATGGTTATACCGTTATAGCACTAGTTTAAGAAAACAAAGAAGGGGAGCAAACTTAGAAGAATGCACTTAGGAGAAAATGGTGTGCGGAAATTTCTTATTTTCTAGAAAATAAGATAAAATTAAAAAAACAAGCATAAGTAGATTAGTATTTTAAGAACAGAAAATAGGAGAATATTTAGCATAGCACAGAAGGAGAAAAAAGGTGTAAGAAAATCACTTCTCCTTTAGAAAATAGGAAAAAATTAAGAATGATGCATAATTAGATCACTAGCTTAACAAAAATTTAGCACAGGAGCACATTATGTGTGTCGCATACTCTTTATTCTTTTCTCTCCATCCGATCAATTCCATATAGATTACTTCCACATTCCACCATCATTCCTCCGCCCACTTTCATCACTCATTTCTCTCATGTATTTTTTTTTAAGTCAAGTATGTATTTTCATTTTTTTTTTTCTGGTCAAGCATGTATCTGGCTGGCTTGATCCCCAAAAAGGGTAACATACATTCCGAAAATTTGCTCATCGAAACGATGCGCTGCAGTTGAGGTATCGATCGTCATTCACAGCCGAAAAAGATGTTTTGGAAGGGATAGTGATGGATTTCCATGGCGAGAGAGAGAGTACTATTCAAAGTCGAAAAAAAAGAGTTCTATTAGGAACGTTAATTTAATTACTAGTATACCAAAAGTCGAAAAAAAAAAAAAAAAAAGGAGAAAATGAACCTTAATAGAAAAATTGGCTTAATTTTGGATTTGTATACCTAAAGTTAACAAAGGCTGACACATTTTCGGTGGAATTGTATAGTTGTATGTAAGGTTATGTGTATTTTTTGATAGAAATACACGTTTGACATGTGTGCATAAACTTTTATTTGACCACTTGTAGCATGTAAAACTGGATTTAAAAGAAAAATTTTGCAATGTGGGAAGAGCAATAAAAAGGGTTGACTAGAAAGGCACCAACAAAGGCTCAAACTGTTAGAGGTTGAGTTTTAGGGGAGTGAATTCAGTGAGAGTTAATCTAGAGATTTTGGAATTTTCGGAAGTGAAAAAAATTGCAGAGAGAAGAATCAGAGAAGCAAACACGATGGTGATTCATTCAAAACACGATGATCATACTCTTAGGAATCTATACTTCCATACAGAGTTCATCAGCTCACACAAAACATGTAAGAAAATATTAATTGGTTTCAGAAACAAAAAAACTGAATCCAACATGGATACCAAACCAATCCATTAATTGTCCACTGTTTTGCAAACAATTGACTCTTACTATACTAGATTCCTTCCCTCTGCTCCTAATTATAACATGGGACCAGATAGCTCGCATCAGAATTTTCGACCGGGTTTTCTAGCACACAAGCCTAACTAAACACGGTTTACGATTAATCATCTAAAACAAAAGGCAAGTTAGGAGTTCCAAATGTGTAATTTATAAGAGAATGATAAGGGACAGACGTACCTCCGGATTGAGTTCCATTACATATGGATGCATAGGCTTGATCTGGGCAAAAGCAACTGAATCCAGAATTAGTAGTAGTGTTAAGCCCACACTGTCCTCCTGATTCCAAACATTTGTTGCAATTATCGTTGTCAATCTCCAATTCCAATGGGAAGCCCCCGTTTACCGCATCGTTGACGGTTGTTTTACTGGCCTCTAAAGCCAGAGCAGCTTCTGTATAAACCGGAACAATAACCTCATCTGTACAGTTCAAAGATGTCTCACCAGCTGTCATCGGACGTGTCAAATAGATAACAGGGCTCAGTTTATTGCTTATGTTGCAGGACTGCTTACTAAGCTCTATGGTGCTATTGCATTGGTAGTAAAACGTCACGTTTGTATAACCAGAAGCATAATTAAACAGAGAGAAGTTGAGGGCGGTGTTGACGAAAGTCGGAGGACATATAGTACCCCAGTAATCCTGCCTAGCAACCTTTACGGTCCGAGGATTAGTTGTGTTCATTTGAAGAATTCTAAAGCTCACACCCATCATGTTGATCATAGGGATGTTGTCTAGACATTGGACCTCGTACCCTGGCTGACCACAGTGACTAGGTCGGTTTAACCCCCAAAAGGGGTAGGAGATGTCTCCGACGTCACCACAATTCACAGCGCTGCCGCAGTTCTTGAATTGTTCATCACCCTGGCATAGACTTAACTCGAGGTTGATCCAAAGGACTGAAGCGATCAATAGATATGGAAACAGTGATTGGAGGAGAAAGGAATGCATTATGGAAGTTGGAGGAAAAGACTCAGCAAAGAGATTGGAGCATCAAATGAAATAGGGGAACTAGTAAAGACATTAAGAGTCAGGTTTAGGGATAGCAACGGGACGGATTGGGTTCGGATGTGTTATCCCCGTAACTGAATCCGTTTGTTTTCCCGTACCCGAAACCGTAAAAAACCCGGACGGGAAATTAACCGAACCCATTGGGTAACGGATTCATAACGGTTTTCCCACTGTGCAACCAACTTACCCACGGGCCCTAGCCACCCACGGTCTCACCCTCCTCCCACGCCCCAGACCTGCGGCAGCAAGCTTCAATTTGCAGAAGCTCTTCTCATCACCGACCCCACTCCCTCTGCAACCTTCAACCCAAAATCGCAGCAATTTTCAAACCTTCAGCAGCAACCCATGGCTGCACAACCCATATTTTATATAGGCCGATCCTGGCCAACCAGCCCCTGCAACCCCGCGACTTATCCCCCTATACCTGCAGCTGCTCCACCTTCAACCTGCACTTGTCTTCTAGGCTTAGACTTGCGACAGCTCAAACCACCTCCAGCTGCAAACCGTGACCCATCTTCATCGAATTTCTCAAACCTCAGCGGCGAAATTACACTGAGACGAAGCTTCAGAGATTTGAAAGGGGCTTATTTGCAGCTAGGTCTTAGAACTTTGAAAAAAAAAAATAAATAAATAAATAAAGAAAGGGGAAGGAGCGTTGGGGAAGAGGAGTGGGGAGCGGCCAGAAAATAGAGAAGTACGAAGGAGGGGAGACGAACGGCAGGGACCATAGGGTTCGAAGTTTGAAGTCTGCACACTGCATTCATATTTGAATTTCGACTAAAAAATGATATTTGAATTTCTTGTACACCGGCCACTCCGAAGAAGCCGCGTACTAATTTAAATATTATTTCTGGTATGGAAAATATGTACCAAAGGGGCGGCGGAGTCAACTCTAGAAGCTACGTAGAAAAGTCCAGGGATGATGGAGTCACTGAAAGGCACCACCATAAAGGAGAAAATAATTTAATTTTCTTTATCATTGCACGAATGTAAAGAAAATGCCAGTATAAAATGGTAAAATTACACGGAGAGCCACTTTTTGGACAACATTTGCCAGAGGGATAACAAATTTTCTTAATCTCAAAAAGTAATGTTATCTTTATTATATATTTGTACTATTATTTGTATTATTTATTTTGTACAGATAAGGTTCACCAAATCATATATTTATTAAAAAGATTATACAAATATATGATACAATCATTTCTAAAAGAGATGTCAAAATCCTAAGTGGAATGTCACTGTGTATATTTAATCAAAAGTCTCTTTAATCAAAGTGTTATTTGCTGACTGGATTTGAAAGCTTAGTAATTTGATATCAAATTTGACATCAATGTCAAGTTTATTTTTAATTTATTTTAATAGTAGGTCTCTTATTCAACTAACATTTCAACCAATAAAAATTGTGTTTCAACATTTTTCAAGGGAATTGATATTAACACTCCAAAAATATCATTTGGCACTCCAAACTTTCTATAATTAGAAAAAAAAATACACTTATGAGGAATGTAAAATGAGATTTTTGGAATGCTAATAATAATTTCATTTTTTAATAAATACAATCATTTAAAGCTCTATTTAAATAATAAAATAATATTTGACAATTCGATTGTAGAAATACAAAATTTGATATAAAACTTTTAATTATCACATCATCTATTAATTGTAATTTGATATTTTCTTTAAAGATGACCTAAAAGTAGTGTTTTTGAATGACAAAACTCGTCTTGGGAAAGCCACAAATGAGCATCTGCATGATTGTCCCAATGGTCGAACTTTTCCAACCAAGCACTCAATAAATGAAAAAATATGTTCCGCAAAATCAGTTTGCTTTTTGCAGAAACACTTTCTCTAAAAAAAGTGACATATGTGACTCATTTTACACTACAGCAATTTTGTCTTGAAGGAAGCTTCAATTGTATATAAGGAGCATTTTATTTAGTTGTAAACACACGAAAAACTTTGATGTCTTTTGCTTTTGTATTACTCTCTAGCTCTCTAGCTCTCTTGTAAACACTCTTTTTTGTAAACATTTCATATATCACTAACTGTTCATCTGTACATATTCAAGCAAGTCCCTAAGCTTAAGTAAGTTATTTTTGTTTTCTTTTAGAGTGTTTAATTATTTAATTAGATTTCTAGTCTAAAATGGGAAAACACTATTGTAGTCATATTATTATCTAGCTAAACTGAAAATCATACTATGTTTGAGTACTATGTTATAGTTGAATGTTTATCATACAAACAATTGAACATTAACTAGAGTAATTATAAGTTCAGTCTTAGTGGTTGTATACCTGCATTGTGAGTGAACATGTCGAGTTCCATGTAAAAGGTTTTATGTCTAGTTGTTATACCTGCATTGGAGTTGAATGCTTGCCATATGAACAATTGAACATTAATCAAGGTATCTCTAAGTTCAGCCTTTATGGCCTTATACCTGCAATGTGAGTGAACATGTCGAGTTCCATGTGAAAGGTTTTATATCTTGTTATTATACCTGTATTGGAGTTGTGTCTTAAAAGCCAATTTTGTAATATTGGATATTAAGTAACAACTTCATATTAATTAATAAATAAATGCGCAAAATCTACTCATTCATGAGTTTGGCTTTATATTGTAGTGATAATATGCTATGAATGAGTCGATGAGACTTAAGGTACGGAAACAATGTCCTAAATGAGGTTTAGGCACTGGAGACTTGTCTTCCATAGTCACTTAGCCTTTAAATAAAGTTCCAAACCATTTGGAAAGTCAATTGGACATCACCTATTCGGAAAAGCTGATGTATATCGCATTAAGGATATCATTGGTCTTGTATAGGCTTGGCAAACGAGTCGTATTTGCCATGTTTGTTCATTTTCGTGTATCACTTGTTATCTTAACGGGTCATGTCGTGTCACATCCATTATCTTAACGGGTTTATAACAGGTCGGGTCATTTACTCAACAGGTAAAATGACCCAACCCGTTAAGAAAAATAAATTTTTTTCTTCTAAATTTGCACACACCACATTACCAAATAAATTTTACTTCGAAAACTATTTCGAAACCAAAAACCCCAATTTCACAAACTCTAGAAACGAAAAATCCCAAATTGAAGAAACAAAATTAATCTTAATTCGAAGAAAAACCCTATATTTTGAAAGTAACTTGAAAGAATCAACAACTATCTCGAGAAAAACCCTATATTTTGAAAGTAACTTGAAAGAATCAACAACTATCTCGATTAGGGCTCGAGATTCGCTCGATGCAGAAAGAGATAATAGAAGACAAAAGTAGCAGATCGACTGGAGGTGGGTTACTAGGTCGTATGTGGTGACAGTGGTGTGGTAGAGGGAAATTGAAAAGGGTGGTCGTGGACTCGTGGCTGGTCGGAGTTGAGGTTCGAGACTGAGATTCAAGAGTTTATTTTGAGAAAGGGAGAAAGAGAGATAGAGAGAGAGAGGCTACTTCTATTCTAGCCTTCGAGAATGAGAGAGAGTCTGATTTAGGGCTGAGAAAAACATTGGATGGCCAAGATTAAATCTAAGCCAGTCCAACGGTCATCAATTTTCTAAATTTAATATATATATATATATATATATATATATATAAACTTTTAGTTTAGTTTGGGATTAAATTCTATTGTTGTTAAAAGTACTTCTTTTTAGTGGTATAAAATTATAAAATTAATATTTTTCTTATCATGTAATGGGTTACCCACGTGTATACTTGGATCGTCCCGTTATCTTAATAGGTGCTTATTGGATTACCTGATAACAACCCGATTCATTATCGTGTCGACTTGAAAACTTGTTAATTTCATGTCGTGTCGGGTTAAGGGGTTGTGTCAGAAATTGTCAGGCTTAGTCTCTTGCTACGCGTGTTAGACACGTGATGGTTATAAACGTTACAAAACTTCTAGTTGTATTATGCAAATAGTTCTTAGACCTGAGGCATCAAGCTATTTTATATTTGTAGATACGAACTTTGGTTACCTTAAAGCCTCAATGAGATCACATGGCTCAATAGTGTGATCTTCAGGTTCATTCATATGTACAAGTGTGAAGGTATATGAATGCGCAATAAGAAATCTAGCACCTTCTGGTAATTGTTTAACAAAATGAGATATCCCTCGAAGCCACTTGAAGATTCATCTCATAAATCTTTGATTGAAGTACTTGTTGATCAAGATATGTTTGTAAGAACTACTTCAACATGAGATGCACCATGTGATGTGATTTGACACATATCCAAGTCATTAAATCTTGATCGGGATATGGACGATATAAGAATCGACTTGCATTGTAACTAAAATCAAGGTTTGAAAAAGTATCATGATTTGTTTGCGAATAGTTCTACTAATCCAGGTAGCCATGACATACTGTTAGATGTCACTCATGGTTTGTGAAATTAAATAAATTGATTGATTAATTTCATTGCCGACTTTAGTTAGAACCTAAGACGTCATACACATATGATAAGTTCTAGTAAGTTTTATATAGATGATGATACGGTATAATTAATTGTAAATTGTATTGGATTAATTATTTAAGAATATTGGACATGGTTTTAGTTAAATAGGCATTGGGCTTTATTTAATTAAAAGGAGCCCAAATCACAAATTTAATGTTGGTAAGTTGTGGGCTTGTCACATGGCATAAAGCCTGAGGCACAAAAGCCTAGAGGAGGTGCGGCATAGGGATGCAACAAGGAGTCTATAAATACTCCTTGTGTTTCCCTCATACATAGAATGCAAAAGTTGTTAGTTTTGTCCTTCAGAGGAAAGAGAGAAAAACCCTAAGCCAAAACACCTTGTGTGCCACCCATTCTATATTGATCAAAGTGAGAGATATTGCTAGCACATTAAATCGATCATTGCATCATCCATTGCTAGTTTTATCAGTGTGTATACACTTAGAGGCTCAACACTTAAAGAGTTTCGCGTGGTCAATCATGAAGAGGAAGATTGCAAGCATAAAGATGATCCAATCAAGCGGCATGCACATGGCTAGAGATTCAAGTAAGCTAATCTCAACGACTTCTTAATTTGTTGCTTTATCAATTACAACTAACCGGATATATAATTAGGATAACATAGTGTATGTTATTTGTTATTTTTTGCTCCGTATTTAGTTATTCGATTTAAATTTATCCCATTAATATGCCCGGAAACCCAAGAGTGGTATATGAGCTAGGTTGTAATCCATAATTGTACAATTTGTTTTATTGTTACGGTGAATTTAATTATTTGGGTTCATGTTGTTCTTGAATGGTTATTTATAATATAAAAGGAGAATAAAATATTTGTTTGTATTAGCTTAATGTATATATAGAAAGTATCAGATAAATATAATCATGAATTTAATTAAAATTTTCAAATTTAGTTTAAACATTTGGAAGTAAGTATATAAATATAATAGAAGTAAAACTCCCTAGACAACAACTTTTTAGAAGAAACCCAATTAAGCATTACCTAAAGTAGTAAGAAACAGGCAGCTTGATTGTGTACAAATGTATGAAGTTAGCGGTTTAAACCCGAACTCGATTGCATGCCATGACTGTAAATTTTCTCTTTTCGTGGTAGTCTAAAGTAGGGGGGAACGGCACTGTGCAATTTTGGGGTAGATTTCAGTTTATTTACGAAATTACCACTAAAGCTTCGTGCCCCCCGATTTAACGTAATTTGCAAAATTGCCACTGGGCTTGATAAATTTTTTGTTCTATTAAATGACGAGACTGCCCATCTGATGAGGTTTAGATCACACAGTGAGGATGATGAGTTAGAGGGGTAGAGTCGTCATTTT